AAAAAGAGAGATGAATAAATTAATTTACAATATTATGATTCTATAACCAAACGAAGAAACTCTTTACTCGATTACTATTTGTGTTATTAGCTACTACTTCCCAATCACCACAATTAATTATTCCGTTATATCCAATTCTTATTTCTCTTCTCATGTATTTGACTTGTGGTATTGTATTACTATCACTTTCTTTTAAATCCTCTTGTCGATATTTTTCTTCTATGATTGCTTTATATTCAGAGCCTTTTGTTTCTAAATCCCTATAAATTTCAATAGCGCCTAAACCCCGAACCTCTTTTAGAAGTCTTTCAATCTCCTCCTTTGATCTACTATTGTCTTCTCCTTCTGGTTGCGAGTCAACATAAACCATTAGTGGGATATTAATGATTTCTTCTCTCTTTGTTATTTCTTCAATACGTTTCTTTATTTGTTTATTAAAAATTCTTTTTTCATCGTCTTATGACTGTCTATTATATTTTTTGGTGTATAACAATAGCACTTGGTCCACACGATACAAACATGCTTCCAAAAGTCAGAAAATGGAAAAACATTACACATAATTTCAATCAATGTTTCTAAATCATGAGAAAGTATATCATTATTAAAATCTAAAACAATAATAATCGCTTGTATCCCTCCTTGTCCTATAATATATTTAATCATTTCATTTAACCAGCTTTCATTCTCTTTACTTGTGTCTTGAAGAGTAGGTGTATCAATAACAACTAAATCACTTCTATCATCTTTTCCTTCACACCCAATATGTATTTCTTTTGTTACTGAATTAGCACCATCACCTACTATAAAAACATCACTCTTTAAAATAAAATTACCAAGTGAACTTTTACCAACACCTGTATCACCAAATCAAAATATTTTTGTTTTTGGTTTATCTTCTGGTACACTCATTGTTTATTTTTTAGTTGTAATTTCAACTTCTTTAAATATTATATAACGTTAATATTTATAGATTTTTTTGGTTCAGTCATTATGTTTGTTAATTTTATTTACATAGTGCTGTAAAAATAAGTGTTTAATTATCGAAACATCATACCTTTAACGTATTTAAAATGACAAACTTTACCCCCTTTTATTTTATTTATAAATAAAATTGTATCTTTAATTCTAAAACAGTTAGTTATAAATAAAAGAATAAAATTCAACAAAAATAATCAATTTTATAACATCAATGCTTCATTACCATTTCATTAGTTTTACATGAAATTATTTTTATTTTATCAACAGAAAGTTTTTATAGAATTTGATTTTACAATACTTACATAATTTATTTAAATGAAATGTCAAATAAAAATAAATATGAATATTTTATATTTATTTAAAATAAATGGATAAAAGAAAGTTATAACATAAGAGCTAACAAATTAATTTGTTATTTTATAAACATATAGACTATTAATGAAACAAGTTATATCTTTTATTTTGTTGTAAATAATAATTTTATATTTAATTTCATTGACTTATTCGTAAAACATAAAAATGTGTTTTTGTTATTTCAATCATTTAATATAAACCAATTAAAATTTATGTTTATTCATTTTAAGAATTACAATTATCATTAATGTTATCTTATTATTTTTAATTATTAACATTGTAGAAGTTTAATTATCTTTAAAATTAATTATTAATTAAATTTATCATTTATTTTATTGTTATTTATGTTTGAACTAATAGTATTATATTCATTGACAAATGGTTTGTTGTAACAATGTTTATTTCTATAATAAAAAAATCCTTTCAAGAATTTGTTAAACCAGTGAACAAACAAAACAATAAAAAAGATTGAATTAATTATTTTATTCTCTGTGTTTATTATTTCTATTATCCACGTAAAATAATGATATTTACTTGTATATTTAAATTTTTATTGTGTTGAAATGTAATTTTATTAAAATTAATGTTTGTTTCATTATCATTCTTCTGTATTATTACAGCATTATGTTAATATTTTCTTTTATTAATGTATGTCATCAAAACTGTTATCATTATATAAGTATAACATACCATTTTTCATTTATTTTGTATTATTCTTATTCTCATTTTATTCAGTCTATTTCTGTTTTTATTTATAAATTATAAATAAATTAAACAATATTTATTACATCTAGATTTATTTCCACTTATCTGTGTTTTATACTTCTTAACTTCTCATGTACTAATTTGTATTTACTTAATTTATTTAAATAATTATTTGTTATAATTTTCATTTTATATTTTTGTAACTTCAATAATATTGTTTTATAATTATTTGTTATTTTAAATACATTATTTCATGATGTAAATTTAATATCATCTCCTGTTAATAAATCTTTATTATGAATAACTGTAATTAGTCTGTTTGATGCTATATATTTTCTATGTTATTTTTAATCCTGTTTTAGTTATTTCTTCGTTTATATGGGGTATTTCAACTAAATAACTACTGTTTTTATTGACAATTCAACCAACTAAATTTGTTTCAATGAAATATATGATTTTAACAACACAATGTCAATAAAAAGGACTATGTGAATATATAGAAGTTTAACCGTAATATCTGTTCTGCTAACATTAAATAACAAATCTAAAACAGTGAATAATACATGAAAAACAATTTCAAATGGTATAAACTGTTTTTTTTTTGAATTTACTTATTATGAGAATGTTCAATATGAACTTCAATAATAACAAGAAGAATGAGTAAAGAATATCAATAAAAACGTCACAACATCTATCAACAATGAGTTTAAGAAGTGAATGTGTTTGTGAATAACAAAATAATGAAAATAAAAGAAAATGAAATTTATCATCAGTATTCTTATTAATTTAGATTCACCATTATAAAATTAATAATGATAATTAATCCTTAATTCTATTTTTTCCTTTATTAACAACAATTTCTTGATGGATTTTATACCACTTTATTACTAATTTCCTTCATTTGAAAAATGAACAATTAATTATAACAAAGTACTTATTAGAATCAATACAGATGGAAATAATTCTTCTACAACAAGTCCAATGTTCAATTAATCATTCTGAACAATTTCTTGATGCGGTATTAACTTTAGTATACCAGAAATAAAGTGTTGAATATCAGAATTAATTACCAATACAACATCTTCTTTATTTATTTCATATCATTCAATTACAACTAAAAACAGTCAATAATTTGATTAAAAATAACAATATTACATTAATTTTATTCAGAATTAATGGATTTAAGTTTTTTCTCATGTTTTATTTGAAAAATATCATCCATAACTAAACAACAGAAATTGTTAACATACAAAGAAAAATGAAAATGAAAATTACGTATTACTTTAAGTGTTTCTTGAAAAAGAATTAACATATTTTTCTATTTTATTTTCAAGAAAAAGAACAAAACTAAAACTAATAAACATATTCTCAATGAGATGTTATGAATAATGAGAGTTGTTATTTCAATTATTTTTATACATTCTGTTTCAATTATAATGTTCATTTTTAATGTTCTTTTATCTGAATATCATTATTTTAATATATTAACAGAATGAAATAACTAAATTATTCTAATTGCTTCACTAATTACATAATTGGTGTTTGTGTTATTTTGTTAAAATGTAATTATACTTATAGTGTTGTGTTTTTATTCATTCTTTATGTGTTATTCAGTTTATTGTTATTCTTTTATTGTTCATTTTCTTCCAATTCATTCATCTCTTCTTCTTATTTTATTAGTTCATCTGTTTCTTCTTTATTCTTTCATTTCTCCTATTTCTTTATTGTGTTTTATTATGTGATTTTTCTATTATGATAATACCGTTTGTTTCTATTGGAATTATTGTTAAAATATTATGACAATGATGATTGAAGTAACAAATGAAAATATAATGTTATGATGTTAATTCATTTATTTCTCAATACAAATGATACATACTCTCATTCTTTTATTATGACTGTTTATCTTTGTTGTAGTATTTCATCTAATACAGCATTTTAAACTAATACACGAAATAAAGAAATAATAGGAAGTTCATGTGATAAATGGTATGATGAGTAATGAAAAGAAACAAATGAAATTAAGACAGAATGACATAAACACAAACAAAATCAACATCAAATGAATAACCATGTATTCACTATAAAATGATATAAACAAAGTATAATTTATTGTTGTATTATGCAACTTAATGTTAATTGTATTATATGACATCGTCTTTTAAATTTACGTATTTTTTCAAACTAAAACCATAATACCATTTTTATTATCACTTAATCAAAAAGCACGTCAAATGACTAACAAATTGTATCATCAATTCTTCATTAAAATTCTATAACATACCTCATTTCATTGAGATTTTATGATAAACTAAGTCATTCACTTTTCACCAGATTAGGTATCTTGTCATTTGGATAAATCTATATAAAACCATCATCATTTAAAAATTCTTTATCAACAAAAACTTGTTCTTTCCTTGTCATTTAATATTCCATCTGGTGACACTCAACCACAAATCAAACAAAGTGTATTTAACACGTCTGAATCAAATGATAGTTGTCTTGTGTTATTATCTTTAATAAACTTCTTTAAATCCACATGTCTATCACCATGAATAGACAAAGGATAATACTTTCGTTTTTTATCATCATGAATGAAAAGATTTTTAACTTCTAAATTGGGATATGAAAGTTTAACATCTGAAATTTCTTTCATATCAAATACAATTTCACGTTCAGTATTTGTATTGAATTTTTTTTTTTCTAAACAGGCACACATTTCTGCTTTATTTATTTTTGTAGTTAAAGTGCTAGATTTCGTAATGACTCGAGGGTTAGTAATATCAAGAACTTCTTAAACCACACAATAATTCTATCACTACAAAACAAAAATTATCCATGTTGGTATAGTATTGGTTTTAACTATTAAATATAGGTATTGTTTATTATCAGTTATTACAAAATAACGTCAACGAAATAAATTAACCACACTTGAGTTTAGTTTAATTCTAACAAATAAACTGACTAATGTCTCGTTGTTTATTTTATTTCATACAACACCAACAAATCACACTATCATTATGACTAAATTAATTCCAATGATTCTTCTAAATAAAATCAAACAAGACATAAATAACACAATGAGATGAGAATGATAAACAGAAATGATGAAATAGAAATTAAACAAGAATGATGTGAAGTGAACTTGTTCTTTTTCTGTAAATTCATGAAATTCCTTTTTCTCTTTTTTCTAAAAATTGAACTTAATATTTTTATTATTTTTTATATTATTCTTTCTATTAATTTATTATTTATGAATTATTCACTTTTTTGATTATTAGATCCTTTTGATGATTCATTTTATGAACATTTCATTTCTTCTCTTATGTCAAGATAGTGTTGTTTATAATAACTTATTAATTGTTGTGATGATTAGTTCTTCAAAATGAAAAGACACTGAATTAAAAGAAACAATGATTGGAATTAGAAGAGAATGAACAGAATGGGAAATGAGATTTTTAAGTTATTTACAATTGAAAGAATAAAAACAGTTGATCAAGAATATCAAATGATTAGAGAAAAGTCCATCGAATCAGAAAAGAAGCTATTCTCAACACTACAAAATATTATCAAACTCAAAAACATACTTCATGAAGCTGCTTTACTTCAAGTTGAGATTTCTTATTCATTATGTGAAATGACTTTAAACAATCTCAAAGCAACACAACTGACTAACTCTATTTTGAATGCATCACAGGATATTCTAATTCAACAAAATCACTTCAATTCATTCATCAAAGACAATATAGAAATCCCTCTCCATTCATTTCTTAATCAATTCAGAATGTTAAGTAGACGAGATTGTGAGTTAGAAGAAAGAAGAAAGAAAATGGATAAAATGAAACAACACCTAGTAAAGAAAAAGAGAAAGAAGTTAGCATGTTCTTATTTAATTTCCATCACCAAAAAATATCAAGAAAGTAAAGAAGAATATTTAGAAATGAGAAACGAATTAAAGAATGATAGAAACATGCTTCTTAAAACATTTCCAGAGATAGCAGAGAGTATTGGTAAAGGATTTATTAGAGAAGGATGGGGATGTCTTCTGATGAATAGTAGAATTTGGGAGAGAGTAAGTCAAGGTCTTTGGAAAGATGAAGAAAAGAGTATTTTAGAAGTGAGTGATGTCATCACCAATTCAATCAAAACACACTCTATTCAAAACAACATCACCAGAAAACCAACAAATGTATTTCATGGAAGGGTTGTTTATAGTTATAATCCACAAAATGAAAGTGAATTGAAATTAGAAGAAGGAGAATGGATCACAGTAATTTCTACAGAAGGAGAATGGTGGGAAGGAGAAAGTAAAGGGAAAATAGGAATATTTCCATCTCATTATGTTGAACGAGATGTTAAAATCAACTAAGAAAGTATTTGTGCATTAATTTATTAAAAAACAAATGATGAATATTATATAATGAAATTGAATGTTTTTAATATGAATATGATAAATAAATATGAATAAATGAGTATACATGTTATTCATAAGAAAATAGTAATACAGAGAATGATAAATTCTATAACTAAAATAATAAAACAACAGAAAGATAAGATGTGAGTCAATTAATGATGATAATAAACATCAGAAACATATAAATAATAAGGATATGTTTATAACAAAGAGAGAAATAATGAATAACAAGAATATGAATAAACGAAGAGAATATTAAATGAGTATTTTGAAAATAAGAAGAATAAGAAAATAACAAAGAAAAGAATAAATATGATTTTAAATCAAACTAAAGATAAAAGATAAATTAAATAAAATGAAAATAAATAACATAACAATGAGAATAAAACATACTTATATTATAATAACACAAATAGTTTTGAAGAAATAGAAATGATATTGTTTTCATATTTTTTAAGAGAAGAAATCATATTATTTCATTAACAATCATTGATTAGAATATAATTAATTATATTTTTCAATAATACAATATTCTAGTAATGTAGTATTCAATAACATATTTACATTCATAGATAATTTAATTTTGTAATTTCATTGATTATTATTATAAATCATTCAATAATTAACAAGATATTCATCATTCTATAAAACTTATTTGTTTATCTCCTATTAACAACTAAAATTATCTTATTATCTCAATTATATGTTTATTTAATAACAATAAAACTAGATTTAACTCATTGGTTATTAATAATCAATTATATTCTACAAATTATCACTAATAATAGTATTTGATGTAAAGAAAGGTATTCTTTTCAATGTAATTGAATTTTGATTTTCTACACATGGAAAATACTTAGAAACATCACAATACGAATTAGGTTCCTTCATACAAATGACATTAATATCTTTAGAGAATGAACAATTTAATTGGTCATCAACAGAAAAAGCAGAAGGACAATCAAAAATGATAGTTGAATCTAATGGGATGTAAACAGATGTAGTGAGTATCCGATAATCAAATGTATTTATTTCATCACTTTCTAATGAACAAGAAAAGATGTAATGGTGTTGATCTGTTATTCCAATTCCCATATATGATGGTGCTTTTGATATATAACAACCAAAACAATTATCATTATCATCTTCTGCAACAAAATAAACATCTTGTTCTCTTTGGATATAATTAAATATTGTTTTAGATGTTAATAAACTATTATTTGAATCATACAAAGTGAATACTTCTTTATTAGAGAGAATATTAACAATTCTCTCTGCTCTATCTTTTTCATCAGTGTAATGTAGATATTGTGGTTGGTTAAACGAAATAACTTTCATTGTGTTAATAGTGTTCAATAAATTACTGATGTTTAAATATTCATTTCTTTCAAAAATGATGTTTAATAATAAACAAGAAACAAAATAATCAAAATATAAGAATAAAATATTGAACAATAAGAATTTAGTGATTGTTGAAAATTATTAATGTCAATTGATATTATGAGTATACAATTTTATTTTAACATCATTTTAGAAAGTAATAATGATATATAATTAACATAATAAAAGTAATATTTATTCATTAATAGTATTTAATGTTAAATAACAATAGTTAGATATTTTCAATTATCAATTTATTATTACATCACATTCATTGAAATTTAATGAAATTCTAATAAACAAATAATAAAATATTATGAATAAGATGATATTTAAATTATGTATTTTCTATAAATGTTTTAGTAAAAAGTTATGAAAAAATGAATAAAGAAAAATGAAGAGAAAGAATGATATAAAAGAATAAAGTGAAAATATGAAGTAGAAGAAGATGAAAAGAATAAAAGTTGAGAATATAAAAAGAAAGAAGATAAAAAGGAATAATTCAAAATGAGATAATAAATGATGAAAATAATGATGAAATAAAGGATGTATTTTTATTACATAAATTAGAAATATGTAATAAAAAGCGTCTAATCTATGATGCAAAATAATTAACAATATTTTATTGATTCAAAATATTTTATTCATTTTTATTTTTATAATTTTTATTTATCTATATAATTTATTCTCTTATTTTGGTTCTTTAAAAGATAATGTAATATCAAATATGAAAGATATTATGAGATATTGTGGTGATCATTCTGGAGAATACAGATATCTAAAAGAACCAGAAGAATTAGGCTCTACCAAGGGTGAAGGATGTGAAGAAATTCTCATCTAAATAAATGTTAAAAATATTAAACTTTAATTTATTATATTTATTTTATATGATATTTTAATATTATTAATGTATTCTTTATCATTATTTATTTTCTTATTTATTATTTTTATTATATTTTCTATTTGTTGATTTATTAATTTCTTATTTAATAAATTAATTGCAAAACAATACAAAATATCAATTAAATTTATATTTGTTTGATTTGTTGTGTTTTCTTTTCTTCTTGACTGATTATCATTTCTTGTTTTTTGATATTCAGTGTTTTGCTCTCCTCCTCTTCTATTTCTAATATTGTCTTTTTCATAGTTGTAGTTTTGTTCATTTGTATTATCCATGATGATGTTGTCATTATTTGTTGTGTATTTATCATTAATGTCATTGTTTTCTTCTTCTTTATTTCTGAGATAAAAAAAATAAACAATAATTTATTGATAATTTGATATTAATTGATTTTGTTTTTCATTTTCTATTTGTGTATGATCTAATTCTTCTTTTGTTTTTTCTGCAATCTCATAGTTTTGAATCGCACTTTTTTGATATACAATGATTTGTTTTTCTTTATCTTTTATGTTCTTTTCAATATATCATCATTCTTCATTTTATTCTTATTCAGCTTCTCATAACTTAATTGGAGAATGATAATTTCATCTTTACTTTATATTTCTGTGTTATTTCTACATTATGTTTCATTTATTTTTCATTGTAATGTATTATTTTATTATTTTAATTTAGAGTTTTCTTATTTCATTAAATGTGGTTTGAATATTGTTTATTTGTGTTTGAATCTTTTCTATTTCTTCTTTAAACTCTTTTCTAAATGTATCTCGTGCTTTTTGAATCCTTTCATTTGAAATGGTTCGTTCTTCTTTCTTTTTTGTTTGAAATTATTTAATAGTTTCTTCTATTTCTTTGATTTTATTTTGAAGTGTGTTAATTTCTTCTTTGTTATATTCTTCTTCTTTATCTTATGTTTTTTATTTATTTTCTTTTTCATTTATTATTATTGTAGTTTTATTTCATTTCTTTGTTTTTTGTTTTTGATTCATTTTTCATTTGTTTTAATATCTTCTTCATTTATTTTGTTTTATATTTGTTTTCTTCTTTGTTTTTCTTTATTATTTTATTCTTGTTGAATATACTTCTTGGAGAATATTATACCATTTCTTTTCTTTATCTTCATTCTTTTTAAGTAATTCTGATTATTC